ATCGGAAGATTACGTAACATGAGCTAGCTTAGCAATGTCTTTATATTCAGCTTCAACCTTCTTCGAGCCAGCTATATAACTAATGCATATATTGTTGTCTTGAATCAATTAATTTTAATTTAATTAATATTGCTATACATTTGAAAATATTTTATGCATTGAGATAATTTTTGTTATCTCTTTTAATTTTGATGAGTATTTTATATGTGTATATTTTATTCAATTGTCCAATAAATATATATATATATATATATATATATATGATGAAATTTGAAAATTAATTTTTCAAGATAGAGAGATTAATTTAAGGTCTTACAAAGTAGAATATGAATCTAATTCAATTTTATAAAATTAATTTATAAGATAAAAATTATTGACTCTCCATTTATATAAACTATATTGGTCATATCATTAGTTGATCAACACATTTTCATCACACTGATAACCAAACATGAAATTTATGTGAATAGACATATGTTGGTGGAATAATAGACCTAACAATAATCAATAATCGCTAATTAGTTATACTTAAAAAGTGAGATTGAGTCTAATTCAATCTTGTAAAACAAGTTTGTAAGGTGAGAATTGTTTCTCATTTTTCATATTTTTTGTTGGTCTTATCTCTAGTTAGTGTGAAACTTGAGTTTTCACATATAATATATCATTACGCTCAATATTATTGAACTTAATATATTGATAAATAATGAATGATCATTTTTAATATTTTAGAATAAATAGGACTTGAATTTTTCTAAATACATTATTTCACGCTTAATATTGTTAGACTTGATATGTATATGTATAAATGATAGGAGTTTATTTTAAATAGATCTAGATTATAGTAGTTTTGATACATTCGGATTTGAAAATGAAACTTTTAAGCACATGCTTAAGATATATATATATATTATAGTTTTATATATTCACCCTCAAGCTTGTAGTCATACTTGGAAGGAAAGAGACATATAAGACTAAAAAGTAAGTAGTCCAAAATATTAAGTGTTTATTATGGTCTTGACTATGCTTTATATAATATATAAAAAGTAATAAGAAACTATATGATTCATAATTATGTAATTAAAGATTATGTGATTGAAAATTATCTAATAATATTTTGAGGGAGGTGGGATTGCATTAGTTGTGACCTTTAATGGAGGGAGGGAGTGTTTGATTCCTTGACATATAAGACAGGGTTGCAGGCGTCTCCATCCCATTCAATTCATAACCACATATTGAGGGCTCACAAGAAAACGCAAGTTCTTGTCGCCTCATTTTTGTTGGAGACTTAAATAGTTGATGCTGTAAGAATCATCAATGGTGCAAAGTCGATCCAAGACACAATTATTTTTCCCAATTCCGTCATTTAATACCAAAGGACCAAAGGCAAATCAATTTTACTCATTCTACTGTTCATAAAAGTTATGCGTGCTTAAAATTTATCATCCCTACCATCAATTTAATACCAAAGGACTTAAAATTTATTTTTTATAGTTTAATATAGACATTTTTAGTTTATATATATATATATATATATTTATCTTTTTTAATGTCTATAATTTAAGATAGATTCTTTTATTTTTTATATTTATAATTTTTAAATTTTTAATTTTTTATAATTAATTTTTTTAATATTATCTATTTTGTGTTGGTATCGTAGAGTTCTTTAATTATGTAAAAAAATGTGTCAAATAATGAATGTCACATATAAAAATATAAAGAGACACAAATCGCTGAAAGACTTAATTTAAAGTTAAAATAAATTTGACATTTAAACATATAAGATTAAATTTATATTCATGTCACGTCAATATAAAAGAGATAATATTACAAGAACAAAAACTTAACAACAATGACTAAAATAATTAAAAAAAAATTGTTATTATATGAACCAAAAAAAGTTAATCTTAAATTATAAAGGTCAAAAAAATTGAAAAAGATAAATATATTAACTAAAAAAATTATTTTAAACTATAGGGACTAAAAGATAAAGTAAATGAAATTGTAAAGATCAAAAAATATTTTAACTAAGTTATTTTAATTAATAATCTATTACTATTTTATAGTAAATGTATAATTAAATATCTCATTTTGTTTACGCTAACTAAAAAAATCAATTAACAATCAACAGAAATTTTTATTAAATAATTAATTAAAAATACGAGACTAAAAATTTAACATACGTTAAAAAAATTTACTGAAACTAAAATATTAAAAAATTATAAATATATGAACTAAAAAATTTATCTTAAATTATTAAAATTAAAAAGATTAAAAAATATAAGTATAAAAACTAAAAAAAAAAGTATTTTAAATTATAAAAATTAAAAGGTAAAGTGAGTGAAATTATAAAAAATTAAAAATATATATATATCTAACCAAATCATTTTAATTAATACTTTGTAAGTATTTTATTGTAAATATATAAATATCTCATTTTATTTACGCTAATTTAAAAAAAACAATTAACAATCAAAACAAATTTCTATTAAATGATTAATTAAAAATATGATTTCATTAACGTGGAAGCAAAATATATATATATATATATATATATATATCTTTTCCAAATCATCAAATGAGGAAAGGATACATTCAGCTAAAGTATTTTATTTTCT